CTGTCCTGGAACTCACTATGTAGACCAGGTTGGTCTTGAACTCACAGAGATTCACCTGCCTCTGCCTCCCGAGTGCTGGGTTATTATATTTATTTTATGTGTATGAGTGTATTGCCTGCATGTGTGTAAGTGTACCCATGTCGTGCAATGGAGCCTGGGGCCTGGCCACCTTCTTCTATGGCTAAGGAATGTGCCTTTCTGACAGCTGAGAGGCAGGAGCTGGTCCAGAGTCACATGGTTGAGTGGCGGCAACAGGGAAACCTGGGCTGTGCACTGCAGCACTATTTTGTGATTCATTCTCGGATCCCATCATCAAGGGCAGGAACCCCAGTGATCACCTGAAGACTTCAAACCTCATGTAGGGGATCATGACTCATCCCAGCACTCTGAGGTGGATCAGGAGGATCAGGAGTTCAAGGTCATCTTGGCTACACAATGAGTTTGAGGCCAGCCTGTGCTACATGAGACCCCCCCATCTCAAAACAATTTTTTTTTGCAGTTTCCAAAATAGCTTTTACACAACAGCATCTTCAGGACTACTATGAGTCTACCTTCTTTTATAGCTGTGAAAATGAAGGTGCCACACAACAGCTGGGAAGTGACAGTAGGATGTCTAATACTCCTTGTTTCTGTAGCATTGGAGATAGAGCCCAGGACCTTGTAAAGGAGGGACAAGCCCTCACACTGGGCCACACCCTGTGTTTGCTGCTTTTGTCTCCAGCACATGGATCTTTCACCTGGCCAGCGCCTATCACCCAGGGAGCACAGTAGAGTCTTGAAGATTTTCGACTCACTCCAGACCCACTGCAGTAAGGCTCTGAGGGGGGCCTGGAAAGGTCACCTCTGAGAGGCACCTTCAGGTATGCTGAGAAACCATGGTCGACATCTAGGTCAGAAGAGACAGACTCTTCTCCTTCCACTACCCAGGCCCTGACATACGCTTGTGGCACAGACTGCTTCTCAGAACAGCAAGATGCAGAAAGGCAGAGATTCACTGGTCTCCTACTCCACACTTACTTGGTCAGGACGATAGAGACTGCATCATTGAGAATACTTTCTCCAAACACCAGCATGTTGAGCACAGGGTCCACATGCAGTGCATTGAAAATTGCAATGGTGGCCACTGGATCGACTGCAGAAATCAGGGAGCCAAACGCAAAGCTGGAAGAAGAGAGAAGCAGGGTGGTTCTGCCCTGTGTATCACTTGGTCCACAGAAAACAGCACAATGGTCAGCAACACGGCTGTAGCTAGAGGGAGGCTTCTCCCCCACCCAGACTACAGGAAGGCCTGCAGGACTGAGACAGGCCTGCTTCCCCACTGGCTGCACTGATACTTATTTCTAGAAAGTTTTATTACATTTTTATTTATTGTGTGTGTGCTTGCGCATGTGTGTATATGTGCGCCACCATGCACATGTGGAGGTGAGAGGACAAACTTGCAGAGTTGGGTCTCTCCTTCCATCGTGTGGGTCCTGGGATCAAACTCAGGGTTGGTGGCAAGTCACCTGAGCCATTTGGATGGCCCTTGACACTTTTGACCAATGCTGCATAGAAAACTTTTGCTTTAACACACACTACTTAGACTTCTTGGTTTTTTTCTGTTTTTCTGTTTGTCTTTTTGAGACAGGATTCCCCCTGCTGCCCCAGCTGGCCTTGAACTCCCTATGCAGACCAGGCTGGCCTCAATCTCACAGAGATTTGCCTGTCTCTGCCTCCAAAGTGCTGGGATTAAAGGCATATGCCACAATGCCCAGCCTGCCTAGATTTCTTGGTCAGAGCATCCTATAAACTGTTGGTCTAACCTTTGTTCTCTGCACCCTCTGCTCTGCCACCAGGTTGGCAGAGTGCAAACTGTGACCAACCCCAGCCTTCAATCAGATTTGCAACATCTAAGGAAGTGTCAAAAGTCAGCATCACTGAAGGATGCAGCCTAGGCTACTACTGGCTTGAAGCTTGGCCCTCAGGCAGCATTTGGATGATAAAGTCTACTGCCACCAATACCAGACACCTGCTAGGTTTTGGCCCCTGTGACAAATATGCAATGACCCAAGCACTGTGTAAACACTTATTATCTTGGTCTCCCACACAGCCTTAGCAACTGGTAGACCCAGGATTCAAACACAGATTGCCTGGCTCAGAATCAGTGCTTGTGCCCTAGAGGGTGTTATGGCAATAAGCAGAGACTAGGCCAAACTTAGGACATGGCAATGTGGGCTGGGGCTACAGCTACACTGGTAGGGTGCCTGGCTAGCATGCTCAAAGCCCTGAGTTTGACATTGAACACTGCATAATCTAGGAGTGGTAACACATACCTCAAATGCCAGCACTCTGAGGTATAGACAAGAAGAGCTTAAGTTCAAGATCATCCTCAGCTATAAAGTGAGTTCTAGGTCAGCCTGGGCTATATACATAAGACTATCATAAAATCAAAAACAAAAGAAAATGGCAAATGCGCCGGAAAGAACATGTGTCCTGAGAACGGGTTAATGGCCTGGAGGAGACCCATGTGGGGACCTGCTGGATCAAGGAGTCAGAAAGGCCTCTCCAGAGACATATTTGGGCAAGAAAATGTATGACAAGCCCCGGGGGCAAAAGTAACAGCAAGTGCTCCCTATTAGGGTGGGAGCAAGCTCAGCTGCCTGAGAAACAAGACAAGGTGCAGGTAGAGGTAGGGCAGGAGGTGAAGAGGGGGAGGCAGGCCTACCCACAAGCCTGGGGACCACTAGAGGGCCCTGGCTGACTTTTTCCAGGCACCTGTGTTCCCCTCAGTCAGGGGACTTGAAGGCCTTTGGTCCCTCAGTGGCTGTGCTGGCCACTTTCTGGCTCAACAAGTTGGGCCTAGTGCCTTCTAGCACATGGCATGATTGTGCTGCACCAGGTGGCCCTGTGTCAGAGTCCCAGGCCAGTGGCTACATTCAATCTGGGGCAGGGACTGGGTGAATCCAATGGTGTCACTAAGCAGCCTTTCAAGAGGACTACTGAGGGAGGGAGCGTGTGAGTCTATGCAGTAACACTCCAATTCTCAATGTGTAGTGTGGCAGCACCCAGTGACTGACGGATATGAGAGCCTGAGGAGACCTGCAGAGGACCACACCCCACAGGATGCCCCCTGACACTTGCCTCCAAACTCTACCTGCCTCAGAGGTGGCCACATGCACATGCCTGTCATCCTCTCTGTAAGCCTGAGGTAAATGCCATGTTTTCACCACGGCTGTTCCCAGGATCTGTGATAAGCACAGCCCAGTCATTGGTAAAAGGTAGGTGGGCAGGCATCCGTTAAGAGGGAGGGCAGCGAGGAAGGAGGGGAGAGGGAAGGTATCACTGCAGTCAGGCAGGAGGCCCTGTGAGGTGGCAGGGGCCATGTGTGGTGACAGGAGGCTCTGTGTGGTGACAGGAGGCTCTGTGTGGTGACAGGGTCCTGTGTGTGGCAGGGGCCCTCAAGCCCTACAAGATGTCAAGATCCAGGCTGCTCTTTCTGCTTCTCTTACTCTGTTGTCCGCAGTAACTAGCACCAAGGAGAAAGGACAGCATAGCAGCATCATGAAGGGACATCTCTATGTGGCACAGTGCCCAAGTGTGCCAGCTTTCCCAGGTCACTGGGAACAAGCTGACCTTTTTTACAAAGTTGGCTGAAGTGAGCTGAGCTGAGCCTGGTGCTATCTGTGCTCCATATGTGGTCAGCAAATGGAAATTGCTTCTAGTCAGGCAGGAGCTGGTCCAAGACCCAGTGAGACAAGAGCACCCGGCTGTGCCACAGCCAACACACTGGGGCCACTGCAGCCTGATGAGCCAACAACCTTTTTGTTTTTTGACTTAGACTACTTTATACTGGGTTGCAGTTCTACAGAAAGAGGCCTAGCTGAGGGACTTGGTCACAGTCACTGGCACTCTAAGTAGAAATCAAAGATCAGGATCTATAAGGATTCATGGAGAGGGATGGACAGAGGGAAAGCTAATAGAGCAAAACCATGGCAACAGAGTCGCAGAGGTGGGCACAAGGATTCACTTCAGGTCTGAGACACTTCAGCGTGCAAAGCTGGAGAAGACAACACATCACACTAATGCTCACTAGGAACTCAACTGGGCTGGAGTATCTCTGACCATGAACAGACAAGTCAGCCACGTGGACCTCCTGAGGCCTCAAAGGCCTCAATCTGGCCAGTAGTTCCGCTACCCACCCTCATGGCCCAGTATTTGAAAATGCCACAGGCTATTGGTCCAACTTGAATTGTTTTTTAACTTCATCCCCCGGATAGTAACACAACAAAATGAAAAGGGAACAGACTGGGTTGGTGAGATGGTACAGAGTACTCTGGGTGAGCTCTTCCAGCAGAAACTGCTCTGCAGTAAGCCCCATGCTTTGAGGCCATGGCTGTTCCTGCAGTGCAGACGGTGAGGCAGGCAGGCAGTGTGTCTCATATTTGGCCTGCACGATGTTATAAAGCTGTCAACACTCAGGCTGGGGCAAGGCATGGTGGTGCATACTTAAAATCCCAGCACCTGGGAGGTGGAAGCAAGAGGATCAGAAATTCAAGGCCAGCCTAAGCTACATGGGATACTAGGCTACATGGGATACTATTTCAATTAAAAACAAAACAAAAAACAAAAGCTAGGTGTGGTAGTACCACAGCAGAGCAGCCTGGTCTACACAGGGAGTTCTAGGCCAGCCAGAGCTACATAATAAGACCAAGCCCTAAAAGAACCCAACCAAAATAGAATTAGAAAATTCCCTACAAATATCTACAAACTTGGTTGTTTTTTTTTTGTTTTTTTTTGAGACAGGATCTCCCTGTAGCCCCAGCTGGCCTAGAACTCACTATGTAGACCAGGCTGGCCTTGAACTCAGAGATCCACCTGCCTCTGCCTCCTGGGTGCTGGGATTAAAGGCATGAACCACCATGCCTGGCCAAACTTGGCTTTTTAAAATTTTATCTTATTATTTTTATTTTATGTGTATGTGTGTATCGTCTGCATGTTGTGCAATGCCCTTGGAGGTCAGAAGAGGCTGTCGGATTCCCTGGAACTGGAGTTATGGATAACAGTTGTTAGCTGCCATGTGGATGCTGGGATTCAAACCCAGGTCTTCTGCAAGAACAACCAGTGTTCTTAACTGCTGAGCCATCTCTCCAGCCCAAACTTGGCTTATTTTAATACATATGTACATATATGTATGTATATAATATATGTGTATCATTTCTCAGCCTTTATACAAAAACTGTAAAAACTGTTTTAAACAGGATGGGGGATTTAGCACTTGTCTAGCACTCAGGTAACTAAAGCCTTTTAAACATTTAGTAGTCACAGGTCACATGTCAACATTGTCTACATGGCAATGCGGACAAGCAAAGAATGCTGCCCCTGCAGACAGTGGTGCTCCCTGTGGTGCCTGTCATACCTCCACCACCCCTGGTAGCTGCCCACTATTCAGGGCTCTGCTATCCTGGAGCACTGTCCCATCCAAGGGACGGTATGGCTCAACAGGAAAGGGCACATGTGCACAGGGTGAGAGACAGGCAATGCTTGGTCTCCCCCACCTAAATGTCCAACCAGTGGCTCAACTCTGTATCAGACAAGGAACATATCAGCGTATCAGCACTGTCGGTGCCTCCTTCCAGGCGTCTCCCAAAGCGGCTGGAATGCCACGACACCACTTTCCGTGTCAGGGGCCCAGGCACTTCCTTCCTCTCCCTGCAGCACAGCATGCCTAAAAACCCCAGTACGGCCTCTACTTTATCTCCAGCTCCATGGAGGAGGAAGGTGACTCAGACAACTTGTCTATCTCTCAGAAGTTTCTGAGCTGCTCACATGCCTGTATTCCTAGCACTTGGAAAGTTTGGGGCCAGCTTGCACTACGAGTATTGAGTTCCAAGCTTGCCTGGGCTACAGTGTGAGACCATTTCAGACAAGCACAACTTTTTTTGCAACAGAAACTCCAAACCCTGGGGTAGGGTGCAGATGGACATGGTGGGACTGGATCAGGCTTGTTATCAGAGGTCTGTTTCCCATGAAAGTGTTCTGAGGTTCTGCTGTGCTATAAAGCTCTCAGTTGACCTACAGGAGGACTTAGAACTGAATACTTGGCCCTACTCCCTTAGCTCCCCAGCCTGGCCACAAGACAACACCAGGTGCTAAGAGTAGGCACAGGAAAACAACATGGCTAAATACTCTCTGGACTTCTTGGGGAGAGTACATGAGACTGCACTAGGCTTGAGCCCTGTTTTAATCCTAGACCTGGTACTTGTGAGACACAGCTACCTAGGCTACTTCTTACTGTGGTCTGAGAAGTTTCCTAGACCAGCTCCTAGACAGCTGTACAGTGATCACTGGAGTAGCTTCACACTGTTTCCACCAGAGGGTCTGGGTCCACGAGCTTCCTCCAGTCTTAGTGGGCTCGGTGGGAATTCCAGAGTCAAGATTCCCAACTCACTACCTTCCATTCCCTATCTATTGGGAATGCCACCTTCCTTCCCCAATGGCTGTAGAGTAGACTGAGAAATTAGTTGAAGATTATTATTATTGTTGTTGTTGCTAATTTGCAGTGCTGGAGTTTGAATCCAGGGTCTTATGTACTGTAGGCAAGTACCCTACCACTGCACTAATATATTTATATATATCTCCCCAGACTTGGAAGATGATTGTTTTTCTTTTTTGGTCTTTTAAAGACACGGTCTCCCTGTAACCACAGCTGACCCGAAACTCGAAACTCGCTATGTAGACCAGGCTGGCCTTGAACTCACAGAGATCCACCTGCCTCTGCCTCTTGAGTGCTGGGATTAAAGGCATGTGTCACCACGCCCAGCAGAAGATGATTCTTAATAAAAGAACACTGAGTATATGGTTTGGAGATGGGCAAAGCACTTAGCTGACCAATTATTCCCTCCAAAGCTTAAATGAAAGCAATCATTTCAGTCAGCAAGGTTAAGACTAGGCATCTTCAAAAGTGACAATATGATTGTGATTCATTCCAGAAACAAATTACTTCAGAATATATTCTACAGTAGAAGCACCAGCAAGCCAGGGGGAGAGGGAGGAGAACCACACCCAGGAAGGCATGTGGGGAAAATGTCCCCGGCCAGAACAGCAGTCACGTGGGGGTTACAGTGTGAAAGATTTACCTGTCTGTCATGTTGAGTTTAGAGATTACATCAGCCTGTAAAATAAAACACACAAACACACAGACACAAAAACATCCCCTGGAGAACAGCCAAGAAGATTAAAATGCCCATTAGTGCTTTCTATCAACTAATAAGGGTGTCAACCTCCAGTCCCAAACCACTTGAAAAACAGAAGCTCCTAAGTGTCAGTGTGCAAGTGCCCCAGCGCCCATAAGCATGGCGCACACGCTGCACTCTTCGAGCCTGTTCACTGCAGTTTCTTCTTACTCCTCTCGCCACCATGGGAATAAAGTGAAGTGGACAGTGAAGAAAGTTGCAGGACAGACAGATTGGCTCTGGGGCCCTTGAGGCAGCCACAAAAGTCAAAGTTGTCAGGAGAGGGTTGGGGCTAAGGGAAGTAAGGAGTTGCCACACAAATGGCATTTGCCATCGTCACCCAGGTCTCAGACCCTCAACGTGGTTCTCAGCCCTGGGGTGCAAGCTTTATGCAAATGGCACAAGAAGTGGGTCACACATGGCATGCACCATCTTCCTAGACATTCAGTCTAAGTCGATGGGAGCTAAAATGAAGCTCAAAGCTCAGAGCAGAGCTAGCACCACTGCAAGGGGCTAACAATGGCTAGTAATCTGGAGTGCTTAATCCCACCCCAGGACAGCTGGGAACTGAAGGAACAGATCCACAGCCAGCCTTAGTTTAAATACAAACTTTCTTTTCTTTTTTTTTTTTGTCTTTTTGAGACAGGGTCTCCCTGTAGCCCTAGGTGTCCTGGAACTCACTATGTAGACCAGGCTGGCCTTGAACACACAGAGATCCGCCTGCCTCTGCCTCGCAAGTGCTGAGACTAAAGGCATGCGCCACCGTGCCTGGCTAATGCAAACTTTCTTACAGAATGATTTTCACCCCTGCTTCAGTGTACCCAAGAGCACAAACACCACTTTTATAATTTCAAATCATGGTGGGACATGCTCCAATTAAAGACAGTAGTGGTTTGCAAATAAAATCAAGTATTTAGGAGTGATTATGGGAAAGATTCACTCAATTCCAGATACCACAGCTCCTGGGAGAAGCTAAGAAACAATGTCACAGGCCCCTACCACCCTTAAGAGGGACTCCCTCCCAGGAGGGTACACTCACCAGGCAGGCCTGGCCCAGCCCCTGCCCCGATCTGTAACAAATCTCTAGCAGATTGTCCAAGTCCATCAGGCATGCTTTTCTTACCTGACCCAGGAAATAGATTCCTCCACCTACTACAAAAGCAGAGATCGCCGTTCCAAAAACAGCAAACAGAGTGATGGAACCAATGTTCTGGAAGAAGTTCCCCTGGGGGAGAGAGCAGACAGCAGAGGACAATGGGAAGCCGGCCCCAGGGGGGCAGCAGCACCTCCTCCAACCTGGCCCACTCCAGGGCAGGAGTCTTAGTCTCCCGGGAAGCCTGCAGCTGTTTCCCTGCCTCAGGTCTCACCCTGACCAAAGCAACTAATTACTGGTCTCAACTGTCCCCAGTCTCTTTTCCTCTACTCTCTACTGCTTCCAGAATAATCCTCTATGAGTCTGATGGAGCTGTCTCTATTTATGAACAGTTGACTGACACCTGGTTTTCCCACAAGGCTGAAGGCTCAAGGGGGACAATGACATCTGCAACATGGAAGACGTTCAATACACAACATGGGAAGATGTAGGAGCGATGGTGCACATCTTTAATCCCAGCACTTGGGGAAGCAGGGACAAGAGGCTCTCTGTGAACTTCAGGACAGCCTGCTCTATAATCTACATAGCAAGTTCTAGGCCAGCCAGTGCTGCATGGTGAGATCCTGTCTCAAGAAAACCAAACCAGATACATTAAACCAAGAACATGAAGACAATGGGTTACACTGTCAGAAAGGCCTTAATGGGGCTGGAGAGACGCTCAGTGGTTAAAAGCACTGGCTGCTGTTGAAGAGGACCTGGGTTCAGTTCCCAGCACCCACATGGCGGCTAACAACCATCAGTAACTCTAGTTTCTGGGGATCCAATGCCTCCTCTGGCCTCCATGGGCATTGCACACATGTAGGCAAAACACTTATACACATAAAAAATTCTTTTTTGTTTATTTGTTTTGGTGATTTTGAGACAGGGTCTCCCTGTAGCTCTAGCTGTCCTGGAACTCACTATGTAGACCAGGCTGGCCTCGAACTCACAGAGATCTGCCTGCCTCTATGTCCCAAGTGCTGGGACTAAAGGTGTGCACCACCACACCTAGTTCAACAAGTAAATTCTTAAAAAGACTATCCTTGTGGGCTGGGAAGATTGCTCAGTGGTTAATGGCAAGCACTGTAAGTAGGTTTTGGGGGGCAGGCAGATAGAGAGCTCTGTGAGTTCAAGCCCAGCCTGCATAGTGAATTCCAGGCTACCCAGGGCTGCAGAGTGAGATCTTGTCTCAAAAGAAAAAAAAAAAGAAAAGAAAAAAAGAAGTAAAGAGTGCCGAGGATCCTCTGCTGCCAGACTCCCCCTGTAGCACACAAGGAACTTTAAAATACTCATGACAAACACAATGATTTGTTTCACTTTTTCCTAAGCAAAGGGCTTTCATCTATGAGTTTTTCCTTGAAAATTGCTGCTTTATTTTTTTAATCTAAAAATAGATTAAAATAGCTAGGGCTTGGTGGTGCATGCCTGTAATTTAAGCACTGGTAGATCAGAAGTTCAAGGTCATCTTTAGCTAGTGAGTTTGAACTACATGAGACCCTGTCTCAACAAAACAAAACAAAACAAAACAAAACAAAACAGAACAAAATGAGGTCAATAGACTTGGTCTGTTTATAGGAATCTAATTCTGATATGGTTTCCACAGTAAACATTACTCTGGATACTGAAATGTACCCCAGTTCAAGTTATCCTGCTTCTCTCCTACATGAGGGAATTTTATGCCTCTTTCCAACATAGTTAACATCCAACTCTTCACATGACATTTATAATTTAAATATTTTATTATTTTTAGTTTAAGTGTATGAGTACATTGCCTGTATGTAAGTGTACTCCTGTCATACAATGCCTGAAGAGGACAGAAGAGGGTGCTGGATCCCCTGGAACTGGAGTTATAGATGATTGTTAGCTACCATGTAGGTGTTGGTCCTGTGTAAGAACAGCCAGTGCTCTTAACTGATGAGTCATCTCTCCAGCCTTGACATTTATAATTTATCAAACCAGTAACTGCCTAGTTAGTACCTAGCAACTGAGGATAATCTTTCTGAAATGTGTATTCTAAACACAAGTTTGGATTAGCAAATCTAGAAATGTTAAAATAAAACACTCAGGTAGATGTAGTGATGCATGTTTGAAATCCCAATATTCTGGGGGTGGAAGTAGAAGTTCAAGGCCAGCCTGGGCTTCACAGCTAAACCCTGAGTCGAAAACTTCAAAAATAAACACTCAAAGCCTTTGGGAGTGGGACAGGCAGCTCTGAACTAGACGTGTGCTCACATCCGTCCTCCCACATGACCACTCATATTTTCTATGGAAAAATCATCTTCAAAGAAATGTTCTTCTAAGAAACTATTCTCCCTGATTTTCAAAAAAGTCATTTTACTAGCATATTTTAATTATTCATAATGGGTTTCATGACATTTTCATGCATGTATATGGTATAATTTGACCATATTCACCCTGTTACCTTCTCTCATCCGCTCCTGATGACCCCATTCCTCTTCCAACGGCCCCCTTGTACTTTCATGTCTTTGGGGTGATTTAATTAGGATTGCTCATTGGAGTATGAATGAAGGGGTATTCACAGGATTACGGGCAACTTACTATTGTCTACACCACTGAAGAAAATGTTCCCCTCCCTAGGCCAGCATTACCTGCCAAGAGCTCTTCAAGGAGGTGTGGGGCCTCAGGAACACTTCACCCTTTTTTTTTTTTTTTTTTGGTCTTTTTGAGACAGGGTCTCTCTGTAGCCCCAGCTGTCCTGGTGTCGAACTCACAGAGATCTGCCTGCCTCTGCCTCCTGAGTGCTGGAATTAAAGGCGTGCGCCACCACGCCCGGCATTAAATAAAAATTTTTAAAAATGAAGCCAGGCATGGTGGCACACCTCTTTAATCCCAGCACTCAGGAGGCAGAGGCAGGTGGATCTTTGTGAGTTCAAGGCCAGCCTGGTCTATAAAGCAAGTTCCAGGCCAGCTGGGGCTACAGGAAATCCTGTCTCAAAAAGACCAAAAAAAAATTTAATTTAATTTTGTTTATCTATCTATCTATCTATCTATCTATCTATCTATCTATCTATCTATCTATCTATCTATCTATCTAATCATTTATCTATCATCGTTTTTTTGAGACATGGACTCCCTGTAGTTACAGCAGGCCTGGAACTCACTATGGAGGCCAAGTTGTCCTCGATCTCACATAGATCTGGCTGACTCTGCCTTCCAAGTTCTGCTTGCATGTATGTAAGCGCACGTGCATGGGTGCCCACAGAGGTCAGAAGAGAGTCTTGGGAGCCCGTGAAATTGGAGCTATGGACAGTGGTTAGACACCATATGGGTGCTGGGAACCAAACCTGGGTCTTCTCCAAGAGCAGCCAGTGCTTTTAACAACTGAGCCACCTCTCCAGCCCCTATCTATTTATTTGAGACAGGGTCTCACTATGTAGACCAGGCTGATCTCAAACTCACAGAGATCTCCACTTCTGCAGTGTTGGGTTAAATGTATGTGCTACCACACCTGGCCCCAAATTCTCTCCATGAACATAACTTTATAGTTTATTAGGTTGCTACCGTCACTCCCAGCTGTAGAATCAATCAGTATTTGATCACAACATCGTCATCGCTGAGAGCAGAAGCAGGACATCTGTTCAGAGCTACAGGCGCCCTGCTTGTTCTCTTCCACGGAGCACAAATCTCAAAGCGACATGGGATGTGCTGCTTTTTTTGTGTGTGTGTTTATGTGCATATTGTGTGCATATGTGTGTATGTGAGTGCACGTACACACATGCACATGTGGGGGTCAGAGTTCACGTCAGGAGTCTTCCTCTGCCATTCTCCATTGCATCCTTTGAGATAGGGTCCTTCACTGAACCCAGTGCTCACTGATTGACTGGGCTGCATTTTGGTAACATTTACAGCCCCAGAGCTCTGGAGATCCTCTCTGGCCCGCATTGCCCCTGGGACAAGAGCAATCAAGCCTGGCTTTTCTACATGGGTGCTGGGAACCCCTTATCAGGTCCTCATGCGTAAGTGGTATGACAGCAAGTGCCCTTACCCAAGTGAGCCATCTCCCAGACCCCTGAAGTTTTGTTTTTAATTTCTCCCTCTAAGCAGGGAAAAAAGCCTTACATGATGAACCTAGAGAAACAAATGGCCTGGGGCATGTGACCCACTAGTCAGTTCTTTTATCAGTCTATGTTCAATGTATCATCGGGGTGTAACTTAAGGCCATTTTGGGGCCAGCAGAGAGCTCAGTGGGTAAGGGCTCTTGCTGTCAAGTCTGACAACCCGAGTTTGATCTCTGAAACCCACATGGTAGAATAGAGAACCAACTCTCGAGAGTAAGTTGTCCTTTACACATACCTACCATGGGCATGTATGAGTGTGTATGTACATACAACACACACAATAAATAAATGTAAAAACAATTTAGGGGTTAAGGAGATGGGTCAGAGGTTAAAAGCACTTGCTGCTCTTACAGAGGACCTAGGGTCAATTTCCTGCACCCACATCAGGTGGCTCACAACTGCCTGTAACTCCAGCTCCAGGGTCCAGTGCCTTCTGGACTCTACAGACACCAGCATGCATGTGGTGCACATACAAGCATGCAGGCAACTCACACATACACATAAAATAAAAATAACTCTGGCCACCTCTGTGGGCAAAGCTCCTCTGTGAATGTTGGCCACACTGCCTGGAACTGTGAAGCTCCTCACAGTCAGGCACCAAGGTGCAGCTCATGAGTCCCTGGGAAGGCCCAGGCCACAGATGGGGAGGGGTCAATCCCCAGCAAAGCATTACTGTGGCCCAGCCTACCTTGTGCAGCGAGTATCCAGACTCGAAGATGATAGGTGGGAGCAAGAGGAGGAAGAACATATTGGGTCGAAACATCTCTTCCTCCTGTAAAGAGAAGAAGGGCTATCAGAGGACAGGGACTGCACAACCTCATATGGTGGATGGTAAGCTGAAGAATCCTTCTCTCAGGGCCTGGCTTAGCAGAAACACACGATGCTTAAATAACTGCTGGTACTACATTAGAGACAAGATAAACTGCAAACCGCATTTTGAAATACAGCACAGGGGGCTGGAGAGTAGCTTAGCAGTTAAGAACTGCTGTTTTCCCAGAGGACCCAGGTTAGCACCCACATGTTGGCTAACAACCATGCATAACTCCAGTTCATGTCTTCTTCTGACCTCTGCTGGCTTTGCACAACACAACTGCACTTGCATGCACGCAGGCAATACACTTACACACGTAAAAAAAAAAAAAAAAAAAGAAACCAAATAAAATAGAGCACAGGGCCAGAGAGAGGATTCAGAGGCTAAAGGCGCTTGCTGCCAAGCCTCAGGACCTAAGTCTGATCCCCAGAACCCACATGGTAGGAGAGACCAACTCCAGCAAGCTGTCTTCTGACTTCTACATGTGTTGTGGTATACATACCACCCCTCAAATAAATAATTTAAAAGAAAAACCCCCATAAAAACAGAACAAAGCTGAGCACAGTGGTACACACCTGTTAGTCTAGTACTTGGGATGTAGAGGCAAGAGGATTAAAAGTTCAAGATCATCCTCAGCTATATAGTGAGTAGAAGGGTAGCCTGGGCTACATGAAACACTGTCTTAGGAAAAAAAAAAAAGTAGGACAAAGTTGGGCATAGTGGCTCACATCTATAATCCCAGCATTTGTAAGGCTACGACAGGAGGAGTGCCATCAATTCATGGCCAATCTGAGTTACATTGGTCCGGGCCAGCCAGGAATACATAGTAAATCCCTGTAGCAAAAAACCAAAACCAAACCAAACAAGAAAAACAAAAACAAAACAAAACAACCAAACTAACAAACAAAAAAGTGGGGGGTGGGGGGGTGAAAGCTAATGGAGGCTGGGTGGGGCACGGAACCAATCTGCAACGGCGGCCAATGAGCCACAGAGTGGAACGAGGTGCCGAGTGTTCACCTTTGTAAGTTACTCTGTTTCCCCTACCCAGGATATGAACTATGGGAAATTCAGATAAAGATGTGTTATATGGTTTGTCTAATAGTGCCAGGAGCAAGGGACCTAAGAGAACTCGGGCGACACCCATCCAGTGTCAGACCCTGAGAGTGCTGAGGTGGCACCTCACAGACAGCCTATTCTTGGGACCTGCTCAGCCAGACTACTGGACAGATGTGTTTGAAGATTCAAAATCTAATAAACTTCTTGGAAAAAGGAGAGGCCATTTGAGTGGGGCTGCAGTGTCCCCCCTCTCCTCTAGTCCAGTCCATGGACTCTAACCTAACTTGGAAATAGAGTCTTAGAAGGTTAGGGTAAAGATGGAGGTAAGGGAAAGATGGAGGTGGATCACAAGGGACCTAAACCCAGAGACTGTTTTTGTAGAACTGGGAAGTGAATCCACGGCCTTATGCTTACAAAACAGAGAAAATATTCTTGATAAATCAGAAATGACAAACAGAAACAGGGAGAACTATTTCCTCTATCTTAGAAGGAAGACAGGATGTTAAAAGGGAAGTAAAAACAAAAACAAAAAACAACTAGATGTTCTAAATGGAGGTGAAGCATTCTGTCCTGCAGGGAAGTGCCTTAAGTGCAGGAAGTAAAGAAAGCAAAGGTTTCAGGAAGTCCCTCAAACTGACCAGATCTATTAGGTCCCTCCATCCCCAAAGTATTGTGCTGTAAGGACTGCTGAGAGACTGTCAGACAAGCTGAGCTACTGGGGAGAAGCAGAGACAAGCAGAGCGACCTGCGGCTGGAGCAGCCTGCAAGAGCCAAGACCACTGATCTTCCTGGAAGAGACACTCTAATGTGCTGCAGGTTGTAAGTTTGCCAACAACAAAGCCAAACTGTGATTATGTGATACCTACCTTCCAATTTGCCAGCTTTTTAAACTCTATAATTTTTATGACTGCTCCCATGAGAATACCTGTAAGAGAAAAGGAAAAGCTTAACAGAGGTGCAAAGACATCACAAGATTTCTCAGCTTGCTCTTCACAGTAACAATATCATCCACTACATCCACCGGGTGTGCATGGACTTCTGCAAACAGAATAGGGATTACTGTGAAGTGCTGTAAGTCACACTGCGTTTCCCACTTGAAACTTCAACAAACACACTGCATGGCAAAGACGACAGAAACCTGTGGAGAGGACAAAGCTACGTAAAGCTGCTGGGCTGGCGCACAGGGCACAGCACCAGTCATTCCTCCTACCTCAACCTGTTCCAACAGAAACAGCAGAAGCTTCTAATCCAGGTTTGCCCTGTACAACTTACTCCCACCATTTATAAAAGGGGGCCTCATGCTGGGCATGGTGGTCCACAACTTTAATCCCAGCACCCAGGAGGCAGAGGCAAGTGGATTTCTGTGAGTTCAAGGCCAGCCTGGCCTATATAGTGAGTTCTAGGCCAGCTGGGGCTACAGGGAGACCCTGTATCAAAAAGACCAAAAAAAAAGGAGGGGGCTATGAGGTGGCTCAGTGGATGAAGGTGCTGGCCACAAAGCTCTGACAACCTGAGTTTCAACCAGGGACTCACATGGTCACAGAACACAACAGATGCCTGCAAGTTGTCCTCTGACTGTCACATGTGAGTCACGGCACACACACACAGACAAACCTATGCACACATACACAAACAAAAACAATGAAAAAAAGTTTTTTTTAAAGGGGCCCAACATCACTGTCCCAGATTAGGGTGGCAGCTCTATGTTGCATATTTAGTTACAGAGAAAATGCAAATGCTGAAAATAACCCAAAAGTAAAGTTCTGTGAAATTCCTGGAAGTGAACAGACCATCTAAGCTCAGGATATTTCCATAAAACTGAGAGGCCCACCACTCATTCCCAAACTACCTTCCAAAAATAATTGTCTTAGCATCGTGGGCACCATTTATGACTGCTTGGTTATTCACGAGATACACAAGTCTCACTCTTGCTGGTTCATCAAAATCACCACAGGAGTTTGAGATAAAAGAAAGACTTCAAGAGCCAAGCATGGTGGCTCATGGCCTTTAGTTCCAGCACTCGGGAGGCAGAGGCATGTGATCTCGGTGAGATCAAGGCTAGCCTGGTCTACATAGCAAGTGCCAGGCCAGCTGGGGTACAGGGAGACCCTGTTTCAAAGACAAAAATAAATAAATAAATAAATAACAACAACAACAACAAAACCCAAGAGCTATGGATGAAGCTCAATGGTAGGGCACCTACCTATAAGATAAACACACATCAATGGTAGAGCATCTACCTGTGAGATAAATACACACACATCTGGTACTGTAAACTACGCCAACCCCTTGGCAGGGGAGGATATAGGCCCCAGCGGGAAGCCACTGCAATTGTTTGTTAGATGGATGTGCTGCACCTGCTAAAGTATCATCCAAACATGTGTTTACACCTATAAGTTATTATAGCAGCCACCATTTAGATGTTCTTGCTTCTTGCTGTTTGTGGGTTTTTTTTTTGGTCTTTTTGAGACAGGGTCTCCCTGTAGCCCCAGCTGTGCTGGAACTCACAGAGATCCACCTGCCTCTGTCTCCAGAGTGCTGGGATTAAAGGCATGCGCCACCACACCTGGCAGCTGTTTGTGTTTTTATAATAGATGGAATCCCACTGAAATGGACCAACAGTCCATGTAGAGACCTGAAAGTTCAGTGCTTTGCCACAATGAAAGGAACATCATCCCATACCTACCACCCCCTCCCAGGCTCAGGGGTTTTTGCAGAAAAGGTTGGCAGAAAGAATGTAAGAGCCAGAGGAAGGAGTGGAGTGTTACCTGGAAGTATCCTCCAATCACTGTTGCAAGATATAGCCACCCTCCTTCCCACACTCATCAAGGAGTCAAGGGGGGAGTCAGTTACCCCTCCCACCCAATTAATGACCTTAGCTGCATGTGGGGGAGGGACTAAGGATATATATGCCAAGACCACGAGGCACCTCTCTCCCCATTTTGTGCAGCTGTTGAGAAGTCACAGGATCTATATTTGAGTGTGGAGTTCCCAGTCATAAATGGGGGGGCACTCACTCTTCTGTAAACAATCCCCCACCCTATGCTCTGTTAGCAAGCTCAATAAACTGGTTAGGATTTAAAAAAAAACAGAGCTAATGGCAACCTTCATTATTCCACCAAAGTTGACCCTATGTTGGAAAATCCTTTGGTCTTTGATGGTTTTTCCCCTTTGGTCTTTTTGTATAGAGAACATTTCACGGAGTTTGAGTGTTAACCAAAGTTAGGAATACTGTATAAAATGTTCTATCAGGCATATCCCAATACCACTCCTAGCTTGTTTCTTTCTTGTGCCCCACAGCAAGGAACCATATACTGGGGACTATGCACCTTTCTCTGTATGTACACACACACACACAGAGCTATGCTGCACTGGAGTGTATACAGATGATGTAGCTTAGTGTATGCTTGTGACGTTTATAGCAACATAAAGTATCACCGTACCAACACTGAGTTTTAGTGCTTGCTGGACAGCTTAGAGATCTAGCCAGAAATCATTACACACAGAGCTGCCTCATTCCTTTCATGGCTCTACAGCACAGCATAAAACTGCCACAAGGTGAGTAGGTATTTCCCCAAAGATATACAGCCAAAACACGTAAGATGCTCAATGCTGTAAGTCATTAGAGAAGTACAAATGAAAACCACAGTGAGGGGCTGGAGAGATGGCTCAGTGGTTAAGAGCACTAGCTGCTCTTGCAGAAGACGGGTTTGATTCCCAGCACCCACATGGCAGCCAACAACTGTCTGAAACTCCAGTTCCAGTGGATCTGATGCCCTTTTCTGACTTCTACAGGCACCACGACATGGGTGCACTTACACACATGCGGGAAATACAGGCCTACACATAAAAAATAAAAAAGCTGGGCATGGTGGCACATGCCTTTAGTCCCAGCACTCAGGAGGCAGGGGCAGACTGATCTCTGTGAGTTCAAGGCCAGCCTGGTGGTCTACATAGTGAGTTCCAGGCTAGCCAAGACTACAGGGAGACCCCGTCTCAAAGAACAACATCAAATATATATATATATGGGCTAGAGAAATGGGTCAGTGGTTAAGAGCACTAGCTGCTCTTCCAGAGGACCCAGGTTCGATTCCCAGAACCCACATGGCTGCTAACAACTGTTTGTAACTCCTGTTCCAGGGGCTCTGACGCCTTCTTCTGACCTCCAAGGGCACTGCAGGACACAGGCACACTTACACACACGCAGGCAATACACTCATACACATAAAATTAAAAATACTAAAATATAAAAAAATACGTTCATCCTAGTGAGTGTAAATGTATCTCATTGTTTATTATTTGTGTATGTGTGCATGTGGTTACAAGAGAATTTGTGCACTGGAATGTACATGGGCAGAGGGTAAAGGATGACATCAGGAGAGGATGATGGATGCACTGGTACACGTGCACACACAGGGCAGAGAAGGGTACCAGAGGGGAATGTGTGTGCTGGTCTGTGCACACACACAGGGCAGAGAAGGGCTCAAAGGGTCTTCCTTCCATTCTCAGCATTATTAAATTTTTTTTGTCAAATTTTTAAGATTTTGTTTTCATTTTCTGTGTATGAGTGTTTTTCTTCATGCATGTGTGTGTACAATGTGTGTGCCAGGTGCCCATGGAGGCCAGCTGGCATACATTAGACAGTATCTCAAAAAAAACAAAAAACAAAAAAAAAAAACAAGTATTAACAGATCCCATAACATGGTGTGGTGGCATCTTGTAATTCCAGCACTCGGGACACAGAAGTAGGATGGCGAGGAATTCAAAGCCATCTTTAGCTACATAGTGAGTTTACAGACAGGCTACATGAATCTGTGTCTCATAAAACAGAAAATATGCTAAATCAAAGCAGACAAAATCCAAAGGCCTGTGGCCACAGGATCCTGCAGGTGTCACAATCATGGTGGCTCCTTTGATGGAAAGGGATGCCACAGGCATCTTCAACCCACTGAACACATCTCCAGGGTTCTGAAGTGAGTTTGTGCCACAGCAGGAGAGAACTACATGCCTGCCACTCAAAAGGCTGCTCTGGCACACTGCTGGGGCCTTGCAGACAAAGTACCTGGCAGGGGACATCAAGTGACCATATGGCCAGCGATGTCCTTTAGTGGTGGACTGTCATTCCTACCAAGTTACAAGGCCAGATGGGCCCAGCGGCCATCCAATTGAAAAATGAAAGTGTCATGCTGGAGATGAGCCTTGTACAGATCTAGAGGACCTAAGCATGCTGAGAAAGGTGACCCGGACTCCCATATCATCTACCACTGTCACATCCACGTCTCTCCCTCACCTCTATGTACAACTTCCCAGAGAGGTCCTTATGACCAGCTGGCAGGGGTAAGAAGCCCTGGCTTGGTTTCCAATGCTTCAGCCAGACTCTGCCCTCATCCACTTTTGTGTTTGTGCAATGGATTTGTGACAGCTGCTACCACGGCAGAGCTGAAGTCATGCATAGGCCCAAACATGACCTTCCCACTCTCCAAGGCTCATCCACCTGCTGCTATTCTGACTGCCTGGACAACCAAGGGTCCATGCGTCCACCAACATGGCCCCATTCCTTGTGAAGGCCAGCCAATGTCTTTGTGGTGGTTTGAATAAGAACGCCCCTGATAGGTTCCAAGTATTTGAACACTTGGTCCCCTTTGGTGGCGCTGTTTGGGGAGGGTCTGCTGTTTGAGGCACCTTTAGGAGATGTGGTCATTCATGCGAGGCGGGTTTTGAGTATATAGCTTGCCTATTTCCAGTCTGTCTCTCTCTGCTTCCTGTGCCTGCTTGAAGATGTGAGCACTCAGCTTTCTGTTCTGCCTGTGTCCTGCTGCCATGCCTCCCCGCCATGATGGACTCTTATCCCTCTGGAACCATAAACCCAATAAACTTTTCCTTCTACAAGTTGCCTTTGCCATGATGTTTTATCACAGCAACAGAGAATAAATACAATCTTCCAACTGGTACCATCTTTTGAGCCCCAAAGTGTCTGACCTGCACAACCAGGTGTCAAGCTGAGGTTCATTTTACTGCAAAGGAGGCACAACAGTGAGCAGGTGGCAGTGGATCCCATGTGCTCCCATACCACACTGCCACGTGTCTCTTCACATGGCCTCTTCAAGAAGGAGCCAAGCACCAGCTTGGTGATGCCATTCTGTGAGAACTGGAGTCAAGATGCAGTGTATTCCTCAAACTAACAACCACTGCAGGGTGGTATGTCTCCAACCGCACACAATGGATAGACATAGAAGTGGGTCCCCTGGGCAGGGATTCCTGCAAATTCTGAGCCTCAAACTGCAGACTCACTGGGTTGTGAGGCCTTGGCTCCCATAGGAGATACTTCTATCAGATTCACCCAGGCAGAGTCCCAATGACTGCCCTCAGGGTCACTCAGGACTCCCTATGCCAATAGACCAGTAGGGCAGAGATGGGGTCTACTGATGAGTATAGACCTGGCCATGAGGAGGTTAGCTGTGCACAGCAATGGAAGGATTATAAGGAGAAAGCAATCACTTGGGTAATTACTAGGTAGGTAACTGACCACAAAGTTTTTTTCTTTTTCTTAATTGGGGGAGTATGAATGTGTATGGGCACTTGTGTCACAGCACCCATCTGGAGTTCAGAGGACAACTTGTGGGAGTTGGTTTTCTCTGTCCATTGTATGGGTCCCAGGGATTGAACTCGGGTTATCAGGCTTGCCAGCCAGCACCTTTACCACTGAGCCACAGTGCCAGGTCCATTTTCTTTTTTCTTTTTATTTCTTTGAGACAAGATCTCTAACTCAGGCTGGCCTGGAACTCATGATACAGACCAAGCTGGACTCAAACTTGCAGCACCCTTCCTCTCCCCTGAGGTACTGAGCTCATAGGTGTGAGCCACCACACCACGCTCATAAAAGACTTTTAAGAATCTTTGGAATGGCGGGCTCTGAGCATGGCACAGAGCTGGGCACCCAGTGTATTCGTTTCCTTGTGACTCCCCTCCCCCAACGGTATAAACTATAATAAATTTACATAAAGATATGTTACATGGTTTGTCTGATATCGCAAGAGACCCCGAGAGAACTTGGGCGACAACTAGACTGGCCTCAAACTCAAAGAGATCTTCCTGCCTCTCAAGTGCTGGGATAAAAGGCATGTGCCACTATGCCCGGCTATAATAAAATATTTTTTAAAAAAAGAAAAAAAGACCCAGTAATTTTGGGCTGACAAGATAAGATGATTAAGTGGGGAAAAGCACTTGCCACCAAACCTGATGACCTGAGTTCCATCCCTGGGACCCACATGGTAGGACAGAACCGAATCCTCCAAATCGTCGTCCAGCTTCTATGCATGAGCATGCCTACATATATACACACCCAAAAGACATAAATGAGCATGCCTACATATATACACACCCAAAAGACATAAATGTAGAAAAAAAATTTTCAAGTAATTTTAAGACCCAAGCACCAGAATTCCATCAGCTAGAGAAAGTATCCAGAAACCACTCAGGAAGCAGAAGCAGAGACAGGCAGATCCCTGAGTTTGAGGCCAGCATGGTCCACATAGCAAGTCCACACCAACTGTGGATACAGGGAGACCCTGTCTCCAGGGGAAAAAAAAAAAGTGAAGGACCAAGAAGGAAGCCTCTAGAACATCTAGTTGAGACTGTTTTACACTGAGTAAAAAGGCAGCTAGATTTTCACTTGACAGCGCACTGAGGTGGAGGGAAAGCAGGGTTTTTTCCCTGCCTCTGCCTCACGAGTGCTGGGATCAAAGGCCTGTGCTACCATGCCTGGCGCTTTTTTTTTTTTCTTAAACAGGAGCCCAAATCCACTTTTCTTTATTTACTTTCCATTAGTTTAAGTCTGTGAGGGGTACAGCATCACATGGTTTCTGTGTCCAGTGTCCTCTGCAGGAAGTTTGCTTTGGAATTTGGCATGAACCACACCGTTGTTTCCATGGGCCCGGTTACCTTTCCCCAAATTACTCTGGTTTTGTCTGGTTTGCCACCAGGAGCCACTGTATTATTTTTGCTTTATATACATAAGTGCATCGCTTGCCTAAGTAGAATTCAATTTCATCTCCGGCATAAACACCTTTGACTTTAAGAAGAGCCGTGTGCTCTCATTGGTTCTGGAGATCTGGCTTATAGCCAGCAAATGTGGCCTTGTACCACAGCCTTCCAAACATATTTGCCATTTAGACGTCCTGTTCCCAGCAGGTCTTCACCGGCTCCAAGATGGCAGAAAGACAGGAGTGACCGAAGGTGAGTAACTTCCCTACGAGCAGCAAACGAGGAGAGCACGTCCCCCCAGGAGAGGCCCACTTCCTTTCAGCTCTATCTGGAGTCTTTCTTGGCACAAAAGTCAGACATCCTTTAAGTGGCTACCTCAGCACTGTGCTCCAGACAGAGGGGTGTTCCATTTCTGAGAGTTTATTACATTTATTTTAGTGTGTGTGCATGTGCTAGTGAGGACATGGAGGTCAGACATTTGCAGTTCTCTCCTTCTACCATGTGGAACTCAGGGATCAAACAGAGGTTGTCAGGCCTGACAGCAGCTCACTATGTAGCCCTGGCTGGCCTGGAACTATATAGACCAGGCTGACCTCCAACTCAAGAAATTCTCTTGCCTCTGCTGGCTTTAAAGGTGTGTGCCACAGACTCAGCCTAAAGATTTATTTTATGTTTACTTTTGTGTACGTGTCTGTGTGAGCACATGTGTGTGGGTACCCACTGAGGCCAGATGCGAGTGTTGAAGCCCCTGGAGCTGGAACTATAGGTGGTTGTGAGCTACCTGGTGTGGAACCTCTGGAAGAGTAACAAATGAAATGCTTAACTGTTAGGTCATCTCTCCAGTCCTCAACTTTTATTCTTTTTTCAATTTAAAAATAATTTTATGCTGGGCGTGGTGGTGGCACACACCTTTAATCCCAGCAGAGGCAGGCAGATCTCTGTGAGTTCAAGGCCATCTTGGTCTACATAGTGAGTTCCAGGCCAGCTGGGGTTACGGGGAGAAATATTTTATTTTTATTTTATGTGTATGCGTGTATTGCCTGCATGTAGGTAAGTGCATCCGTGTCATGCAGTGCCCACGGAGGACAGAAGAGGCTGTCAGATCCCCTGGAACTGGAGTTACGGACAGTCGTTATCTGCCATGTGGGTGCTGGGATTCGAACCCGGGTCCTATACAAGAACAGTCAGTACTCTTAACCTCTGAGCCACCTCTCCAAACCCAGCACTGCTTTAAGGACCAATTTTTATTCTTAATAGTAAAACTGGCCACAAAACTAAATTTCTTGAAGCAGCTTTCTAATCCTTTACTGAAATGTACACTAAGTAGCAGCCACATGGGTTATTTTCAATGCACCTAACAGCAGGGAGGAATGTTACTGAACACACTCCCACTTAGAGCTCAGAGACCACCTATTAGCCAAGGCTGCTACGTCTGATGAACTTAAGTGGACAACAAAAAGCCTCAGAGGAAAGCTGATTTCTAGTCTGCCCTCAAGATCACTATACTATGGAATCTACACCTCAAAACATGGCATCATTAGAGGATGAGGGCTTCAATGAGATGGCACCAAAGTCCCCGGCCAGAATCAGGCATCCATCACTACTGTGAGGTCCAGGGAAAATACAGAGGTCTGCACCAGACAACAGGGCTGCAGGAGTGACGGGGAAGGCGAGGCTGATAAACAGACTCAACGCTCATTTCCAAGGCTGACCTACACCACAGCGCAACTGGGAAAGAATGACTTCCCAGTAAATGAGTTTTACAAGGCAAAGCAAGTTCACCTATAAGGCAGCAGTGGCTAGTGGAAACTCGGCAAAGTGAGTACACAGCAATGAATTGACAGAGTGGGGAGACTTCCATGGCACTGCCTACTGGGCTTCAGCAGCCCCACCCACGTTTTGCCTTCAATACTAGTTAACGTTCAGGTCTCTTGCTGGGCATGGTGGTGTACACCTGTAATTCCAACACTTGGGAGGGAGGTGGATGAAGGGCAGGGGTTCCAGGCCAGCCTCGGCTATAGTGACTGCCATTCTTGGCTTCAGCCGGCAAGTTGACACATATGCCACGGTGGGTGTGTGGAGCACCACCAACTGGGGACAAAATGTCCAAATACTTGGGCATATGGAGGACATTCTCATTCAAACCCTCACACTCAGTTACCTGAGACTGTCTCCAAAAATAAAGTTCCTGCTTCTTCCTTCACTGGCCACTTCAATGACCTTGTATGAGTGTTTACAGCTGTTAGTACCTATTTATTCCTTGCAGCTGGAAGTGAATGATCTTAATGACTTGCACAGGCAACAAAAGAGGAACTGGATAGAGTGGTTGCTGTCTGAAGAATGGAGCTGTGGCGTTACGTGGAGCCGCATCTCTTCCCTACTGTAAAGCAGGGGCCCTTCAGGCTGGAAGGCAGTGATTCTGAGGCTAAGTGTCAATCATTAGCTTTAGTGAAGGTGGACAGCACCATAGCCTAGCAGCAACAGTTAATGTACCCCAGGGATGATGAGAGGCAGGAGGCCAGACAAAGGGCCTTTGGGTGACACATGGCCTTCTTCATGACCTTTAGGGGGTCAGCACCTTTTTCGGATCCCCCCCACCCTCAAAGCTCTGTGTCCTCATCTGTAAAATGAAGCCATAAAGCCCTGTGGCAGGCTGCAGGGAGGATGATAGGGAAATGGGGAGGTCACACATCCCTCACAGATCCTGGTGCAGAGGCGGCCCCGGAAGAAGCAGGGCTCTTGTGAGTGTGTGGTTCTGGGATGGTTCTCCAACGAGCACTTACCTAGGGAAACGACAGCCACGCTCTCAGGCAGGAAGTGCAGTCGGTACCGGATCAGCAGATGCACCAGGATGATGCAGATAGCTGTGGGGGCACAGACATGGTTGACAAGAGGCGGCAAGCTTGAGCAGCGGTTAGTTATTCGGGGTGGCCAGGTTAACAGGCATTTGGCAATCAAACAGTGAACTTCAGCTGTTTTTACTCTCTTAAACTGAAGGTTCACTCACAGCATTTCTTTTCCCTATACTTCTGTGCCTTGACTACTTTGTTTTCCAGTGGCAAACGGAATTTTTAAGTATTATCGGGGGACACGTACAAGACAGTGGGTGTGTGGAATTCAGATGACAACATGGAGGAGTCAGTTATCTTCACCGACCTTTATGAGTTCTGGGGACAGAACTCAGGCAGCTAGGCCTGTGCCTTTACCAGCTAAGCCACCTTGCCAGCCCTCCAGTATTGAATGTTTTAAATAAGCTATAACCCCTTAAACAACCATTTACAATTCATCAAATTCTTTTTATTTTTGCTTTTTGTTGTTGTTGCTGTTTTAAGCTGGGGTCTCATGCAGTCCAGGCTGACCTCAAACTTGCTATGTAGCTAAGGATAACCTCGACCTTCTGATCTTCCTGCCTCTACTTCCCTAGTGTAGAGGTTATAGGTGCCCAGTTTATACAGTGCCAGGGGTAGAATACAGAGTTTCACTTCATGTGTGCTAGGCAAGCTTTCTAACAACTGAGCTGCATCCCCTTGTCTCCAAAAGACAAAAAATAAAAAAAAGCAAGATGGCTGGGGGCAGGGGTGGGGGGACACCACAAGGACCCTTGCCACGAGAGCCTGGTGACATAATTCAATTCTAAGATCTCACAGTGGAAGGAGAGAACTGATTCCTGAAAATTGTCCTCTATCCTTTACATATGTGTGTGTGGGCACACATACATATACACACACTAGTAAAATCAACAAAAATTTCTGGGCCAAAAAAATAATAATTTCCAATGCAATCATGTGGTCCCGATGCTGGTGTACATGGCTCTGTACCAGGTGCTGGGGCTTTCCACCAGCTCCTTAATCACAGGATGGCTTTAACAGTGCTAATGTGTGTGGTATGTGTGTTACATGTGTATGTATGTATGTTTACATAGTTTTGGAGGCAGGGTCTTGCGTTTTGTAGCTAAGGTTGGCCCACTTGATAGCTTCTCAAGTGCTAGATGACAGGGATGTGCCAAAAAGCCCAGCTCTAAAAATAATTCTTTGAAGAAAATGGTTAAGCCAGGAGTGATGGCACACACCTTTAATCCCAGAAATGGGGAGGCAGAGGCAGGCAGATCTCTGTGAGATCCAGGCCATTCGGGTCTACCAAGTGAGTTCCAGGCCAGATGGGGTTATAGGAAGACACTGTCTCAAAAAAAAAGGGGGGTAATCCGGAGACATGGCTCAGCAGTTAAGACTTGCTGCTCTTCCAGAGGACCAGAGTTCAGTCTTAGCACCCATATCAGAGGAGGGAAGGAGGAAGGGAAGGAGGGAGGGAAGGAGGGAGGGAAGGAGGAAAAGGCTCATGTTGACTCAGTCCATCCCCATATTCCTTGAGACATAAATTTCTCTGTAGTCCTTCCAATGAGCATATCGGAATATTTCCAACTGCCCTAGGAACTGAGAAGCACATGCCTTTGGTTCTCACACTGGTTCTTTCAAGTAACTTTTTTGCCTTTCTGGCCTCAGCTTGTTCCACCCAGGTAGTTATCCCAGCCGACCTTGGACAGCCCTTCTTCTAAGGATAGAACATGCAGGATACAGAAATCAGAGAGATGAGTGTTTGATTCTGAGCACAAATACTTCCTAAAGCAGCTGACCTTGGTTTTGTGGGTTTCAGAAGAGTCGCTATTGGTGTTCATTGAAACAGTGTGTCAAGGTGGCTTACAGTGTGTCAAGATGACTTAAGTGGCAGAGTAGGTAAGACTTTACTTCCTCAAAGTAGACATGACTGAATATTCACTTCATCCCACTCTCTGTAGTCCTTTCCTCTCGCCCTTGAGTTGACAGAGGATTCCAGTCAGGAAAAAAAAAAAAAAAAAAAAGAATGCCTTTCAGCAAGCTTTTGCCTTTCTGCTTTGGGAGAGATGGTGTCCCCAAAGACTTTTGCCTGGCTATCACTGACCAAGAAATGCATCACATGGCCTGCACTAGATGCATTGATTCCATTCCACGCTGGGGCAAAAAAAGCCCCTCTAAAAAAAAAAAAAAAAAAAGAAAAAGAAACCCAAACTTGCCAGGTGTGGCGGCAGGCTTTTAATCCCAGCACTCTGAAGCAGATTTCTGTGAGTTCAAGGCCAGCCTGGTCTACATAGTGAGTTCCAGGGTAGCTGGGGCTACAGAGAGACCCTGTCTCAAAAAGACAAAAAACTAAACAACTCAACTCACCAAGGCTGGTTAGACAGCTAACTGCAGAAAGCACTTGCAGCAGAAGCCTGGCACCCTGAGCTCAATACTGAGAACCCACATGAAGGTGGGAGGGAGAGTAGACTACAGAAAGTCGTCCTCTGGTGTTTACACGTGCCTGCGTGCTCTCTCTTTCTCTCTCTCTCTGACTAAAGAAAGTCTTCCTCTGGCGTTTACATGGGCCTGTTCTCTCTCTCTCTCTCTCTCTCTCTCTCTCTCTCTCTCTCTCTCTCTCGCACACTCACACACACACACACACACACACACACACACACTCATAAATAAATAAACATTTTTTTAAGCAAGCTTGGGGGTCTGAAGAGACAGCTCAGTGGTTAAGAGCACTGACTGCTCTCCCAATGACCTGGGCTCGATTCCCAGTTCCCACATGGTGGCTAACAACAGTCGGTAACTCCAGTATCAGGGGATCCAATGCTCTCTTCTGACCTCTGAGGGCATTGCATAACACGGGTACACTTACATACATGCAGGAAATACACTCATACACATAAAATAATAAAAAATAATACTTTTTTTTTTTTGTCTTTTTGAGACAGGGTCTCCCTGTAGCCCCAGCTGTCCTGGAACTCACTATGTAGACCAGGCTAGCCTTGAACTCACAGAGATCTGCCTGCCTCTGCCTCCCAAGTGCTGGGATTAAAGGCGCGGGCCACCGCCGGACTAAATATTTTTTTTAAAAGCCAAGCTTCAGCTGGGTGTGGTGCTACACACCTTTAGCTCCATCACTTGGGAGGCAAAGGCAGAGAGATCTCTGTGAGTCCAAGGCCAGCCTGGTCTACATAGTGAGTTCCAGGCCAACTGGGGCTACAGAGAGACCCTGTCTCAAAAAAGACCAAAAAAGAAAAAAAAAAAAGCCAAGCTTCGTGGCACAAACGTTTAATCCGAACACTCACAAGGCTGAGGTAGGTGGATCTCTGTGAGTTCAGGGTAGCCTGGTCTACATCATGAGTTCCAGGCCAGCAGGGCTACAAGAAGACCCCATCTCCAAAAAATAGAAACACAAAAAAAAAAAAAAAAAAAAAAAAAAAAAAAAAAAAAAAAAAACCAGCAAACAAAAGAATACGGAGAAACTGAAATCAGTAAAGTAACCTTAATGGGTCCTCCATCGCCCCCAAATATTTATCCAAGAGAAACACAAACACACCCATACAACTTGGACACCAATGTTCACACTATTCACAACAGCTGAAAGGAGGGAATGACTCAAGTGTCCCACAACTGTAAGGAGGCACAATGGACTGCTACTCACTCCAAAAAAGGAATGAATTCTCACACAAGCTACAACATAGGCGAGAGAGAGAGAGAGAGACACAGAGAGAAATGAAACCTGGGAACAAACCACAAAATTAAACATTTTTTATTACATTTATTTATTTAATGGGAGTATGTTGCACATGTGGGGGTCAATTTGCAGAAGTCAGTTCTCTCCTCCCACCATGTGGGGTCTCAGGGGACTGAACTTAGGTTGTCAGGCTTGATGACAAGTGACTTTACCCACTCAGCCACCTTGCCAGCTCCACAGATGAATCATAAAGACAACATGCCCAGGAATAAGCCAATCACAAAAGGCCTCGCACCCTGCAGTTCTGTTTACAGGAGCTGCTCAGAACAGGCTAGCTCTGGGGCAGAGTAGAGCTGTGTTGCCCGAGGAGGGAATGTCAGCTGCTGCTGGCCCTGCTCCCTGATTTTAATGGTTTCCCCTTCCGGTGATGAAAAGACTCTACAACCAGACTGTGGAGATGGTTGCACAACATGGCTGTAATAAACCCCACTGAATGGTGTGCTTTAAAGTGTAAGTGGTAAATTTGATGTTTATTTTACTACAATAAAAAGATGAGATAGAGCCTGGGTGTGGTGACGCACCCTGGAAGCAGAGGAGTGGATGGATCTCTGTGAGGATCAGGCCGGCCTAGGATGTGAGAATCAGTCCAAAAACATAAACAACAGGAACAAAACAAACAGCAACAACAGACCCACTCAAGGCCAGGTGTGATAGGGCATACCTTTAATCCTAGCACTCAGGTGAAAGCAGGCTGAGCTCAGGATACCCTGGTCTACATACAGTTTTCAGGCCAGCCAGGGCAACACAGTGAGACTCTGTCTCAAAAACAAAACAAAACGAAACAAAAACAGAAAAACACACAACAACAAAGCAAGTTCAAAGAAGCTAATCTGAGCTACATAACAAGACCCTGTCCCAAAACAAAACAACAAGCACCCCTGCCCCAGATGAGTGAGATAAAAAACACACTAACACGAAAAAATTCCAAGATACTATGAGGTGAAAAGGCAAACTACAGGACGTCATCTGTGTCCCACGAAATTCAAATTATATAGGGAAAAGCATGTTGCCTTCTGTTTTCTTTGGTTTAGGGTTTGGACAGAGGCTTTTCACTCTGTAGCCGAGGCTAACCACCAGGGCCTTGGCCTCTCAAATGTTGGGATTATAGGTGTGAGCTACTCTGCCCACCTTAAAAGCCATTTTCAATTACTCTTGGGGGAAAAAGCAACAGAACAAGGGATGAGCACTTGTGTGGAAGATGTTAATGTGCTTCTCATTTTTATGCCTGAGGGGTAAGTGTGGAACTTATTAAAAGAGGCATGTCAACTTTAATAACTCCATTACATTTAGTGGATCATAAAACACACATGCCAGTGTTAATTGTTAGTTGTAGTCTAGGCCCAATTCACCGCTGTTTCTTGTGGTGTCTGAGATCAGCAAGGGTTACATGCAAGTCAACCAAATCCAAATTCCTCAAAGCCAACTCTCCTTAGCCAAAGGGACAAGCAGCCTCCTGTGAAAAGTATCAATTTCACTAACTGCACTAAACAGTAAGCCAAAGTGGGGAATGTGTTCCAGGCCAAGATTTCTGAGGTCTAGAATAGACTACATACAGCCTGATTTCTCTCAACAGTTCACGTAGAGTGTTTAGTGAGTTAGCAAGTTATTTATTCATAGTTTTTCCACCTTATCAGATTTACACTATTTGTTTGGACACCTAATCAGGAATAATCAATAACTCACAGGATCACAGGATGTCAGGTGTGGTAGTGCAAGCCAGTAATCCCAGGACAGGAGGTGGAGACAGGATCAGGAGTTCAAAGTCACTCTTGGCTATATAGCAAGTTCAAGGTCAGCCTGGGCTACAGGAGACCCTGTTTATTTTAACCAAACAGAGCCTTCTAATTTACTTAAAAACATAGCACCATTCCATCTGGCTCACACAGCAAGTGGGGACACCAACTAACAAGCTGCCAAGAATCCAATGAAAGCCAAAGGCACCCGACATTAGTGTGGACGTCTGTTAGTGTGGATGACCCAAGAGCAATATACAGCATCCTGAACACTGTACAGCCCTTTCTGCCCTCAAGATGAAGTAACAGTGGGCAAGACTCTACCTGGGGCAGAAAGTGTCCTACGGAAACCTGGTTAATGGTCTCCAGTCAAGTTAATCTTAAGTGCTGTATGCCCTGAAAGTTCCAAGTCTTTGTGCTTGTTGCCCCCTAACAAAGGCTGCACAAGTTCTTTCTGGGTGTGTCTTTTGTAGTCTCTAACAGTAACCTGACAGCAAAGTAAACTTCTTAATGAGAATCCTCAAAGGGACTTCACTCCTAAAGATTTCTTAATCAGGTAAAAAGACTGCTTTTCCTCCTTGGGTTCAAGCACTGTAACAAAGGCAAAGGAAGCCAGTGCGGCCTCACAGGCACATGCCTGTAATCCCAGCACTGGAGAAAAGCCAGGTGGAGGGTTGCCAGTTTGAGGTCAGTGTGGGCTATTCCGTAAACATAGTGGTGCACACCTATAATACACAGGGGAGCAGAGCCAGGAAGAACAGAAACCAAAGGTTATCCTCAGCCATAGACCAAGTCTGAGACCAGCCTGGGCTACACGAGACCCTGTCTTAACAAAACAAAGCAAAACCCTCACAACCCAGTTTCACCTTTCCCTTTTCTGAGAAGAGTTAATCTGAAAGATGATCTTGTCATCCTCAAAGAAAAGCAGTATGTGGTAAATAAGGCCAGGGTGATGGCACATGCCTATAACCCCAGCACTCTGGAGGTGGAGACAGATGACTAGTGACTTTCAGGCCAGCTTGAGCTCTCAGACTCTGTCTCAAAAAACTGAGAAGCCAGGCGTGGTAGTGCACGCCTTTAATCCCAGCACTGGGGAGGCAGAGGCAGGCAGATCTCTGTGAGTTCAAGGCCAGCCTGGTCTACATAGTAAGTTCCAGGACAGCTGGGGCTACAGGGATACAGGGAGACCCTGTCTCAAAAAGACCAAAAAAAAAACCTGGGAAGAAATGAACCAAACCGGTAAACATGGCAGCTTCACTGTCCAACAAGAGCCTGGACTTGGGCCAAGCTATGCTTTCTCCTCCTTAGATAATCCCAAATGTTTGTAGCGTTTCACTGGATTTTTTGGGGGGAGGAGGACCTTTTTGAGATAGGATCTCCCTGTAGCCCCAGCTAGCCTAGAACTCGCTATGTAGACCAGGTTGGCCTGGATCTCACAAAGATCCACCTGCCTCTGCCTCCAGAGTGCTGGGACTAATGGCGTGCGTCACCATACCCAATTTCAACTGGATTTTAAACATTTTTTCATGCATGTGTGTAAGGGTAGGCGCACATGGAGGCCAGAGGACAACCTGGGGTGTCATTCTTAGAAATGTCACCCTTCTCAGGGCAGGAGAGATAGCTCAGCGGATAAGAGCACTGACTGCACCCACATGGCAGCTAACAACCATCTGTAACTCCAGTTCCTGGGGATCCAACACCCTCTGCTGACCTCCATGGGCACTGCATGACACGGGTGCACCTACCTAAATGCAAGCAATACACCCATACACATTGAAACAGGGCCTCTCACTGGCCTGGAGTTCACTGATTCAGCTAGATGGCCTGGCCCAAGAGCCCTGTCTGCCTCCCTGCACTGGGATTACAAGTGCATGCCATCACATCTGGCATTCTTTCAAGGTCAAAAATTCTTAGACATTTTGTGCAAGGGCTTTTCAGAAGTGCTACGCTTTCTGCTCTCAGGAAGCCAAAGGAAAACCCTGGCAATGGTGTGAACTGTTCATCTGCCCTCAGTATTTGGACTCAAAGCCAATGGAAGACTTGACAAAACACAGTGGTGGCAGAGCGCACCATGGTGATGGAGCACACAGTCATGAAAGGGTGCAGTGGTGGCAGAGCACACAATGGTGACAGAACACACAGTCATGAAAGGGTGCAGTGGTGGCAGAGCGCACCATGGCGATGGAGCATATGGGCTACAGACACTCCCAGGCCCCATTCACCTAGGACGAGGAGGCTGAAGAAAATGGTCATCCCGCTTGACTGCTCCTCCTGCTGGGCCTGCTCCCCGGTCTGCACTGGAAGGATGGGCTTGGCAGGGGTTGGGAGCACCAGTTTCGTGGTGACACCCAGGGTGGTGTGAAGGGTTAGGTTGAAGCTCTCATGGGTGACATTGGAGAAGCTGTGGAGAACACAGAACACAGTCACACAAAGAAAGTGCTCCAAGCACAAAAACACACCTCAAACCAGAAAGAGGACCTGGCAAAGCTTCGTGGAATTCAAAGCCAGGCAGGCCGGGGGTGGGGCTGGGGGGAACTGCGACGACTGCCTACATGGCACATGGAAACTCATGGTTTCTGGAGCTTTTGAATCTGATCTACATAGTGAGTTCCAGGCTACAGGGAGACCGTCTCAAAAAGACGTGCTATATAGTAAGACTAGAAAAAAAAAAAAAAAAAAAAAAAAAAAAGAAAAAGAAAAAAAAGAAACCTTCATATGAAAGTCATTTCGTTTAAAATTGTTTGTGGGCTGGAGAGATGGCTCTTAACTAAGAGCACTGGCTCCTCTTGTAGAACACCTGGGTTCAGTTCCCAGGACCCACATGGCTGCTAACAACCATCCTAACTCCAGTTCCAGGAGATATGACCTCTGCGGGCACTGCACAACACAGCTGCACTTACATACATGCAGGCAATATACTCATACACATAAAATAAAAAAATTTTTAAATTTGTGTTTGTTTGGTTTGGTTTGTAGTTAATGCTGGCCTAAAACTCAACTCACAATCCTCAGTCTCTTGAATGCAGGGATTAAAAGCTTGTGTCATCGTGCCCTAGGGGATCATTTCTTTACCAACTTTAAAAGTGCCACTGGGAGTTGGACATGGTAGCACATGCCTTTAATCCCAATATTTGGGAGGCAGAGGCAGGCAGATCTCTGTGAGATGGAGGCTAGCCTGTTCTACATAGTTCCAGGTCACCTGTGGCTAAAGAGAGACCCTGTCTCAAACAAACAAACAAAAACCAAAAGCACTATTGGGGATTAGGGAGGTAGTTCTACTAAAAGAATATTTGTCAAGCATGCATGAAGTCCTGGGTTCAATCCCCAGTACCATATAAACCAAGCACAGAGGGAGGAAGATCAGAAGTTCAAGGTCATCCTTGGCTCCATAGCCAAGGTAGCCTGGACTACATGAGACCAAATCTCAAAAAATGGGGAGGAAGCTAGAGAAATGGTTCAGTGACTAAGAGCACTTGCTGCTATTACAGAAAACCCAAGTTCAGTTCCTGCACCCACACAGCTGCTAACAACCATCTGTAACTCTAGTTCCAGGAGATCCAGTGATCTCTTCTGGCCTCTGAGGGCACTGCATGCACATGGTACACAGATATACAGGCAGGCAAAAGACTCAGATACATAAAACAAAAATAAATATTTTTCAAAAAAGTACTATTGAGGATATTATTTTGTTGTGTTACAAGAATTCACCTGATCGAATTCCATTAAAATTTAGTAAAGAAAAGAAAGGAAGGAAGGAAAAAAGAGAAAGAACAAGAAGAGAAAGGAAAGAAAGAAAGAAAGAAAGAAAGAAAGAAAGAAAGAAAGAGAAAGAAAGAAAGAAAGAGAGGAAAGAAAGAAAAGAAAGCCCACACAACAAACTGCTGATGGGCAACTGTATCTTCTTATCCCAGAAAACACAAATTACATAGGTATTTTTTACCTTTCAGGCCACTTATGGCAGCCCCAGACATCTTTAATCCTCAAGACAAAATATGAGTAAATAATGCAAAGGCATAAAGGCCTCTGTGCAAAATCAGTAACAACCCCAGGACCAAGAGGCTTGCTGTAGCACCCTGATCAGATCAGACCCCTGGAGCTCAGAACCCTCGGGCCTCAATCCCATTACCTTCCAATTCTTGAACTGGCTCAGCAAACTTCCCTAAGTTACTCCACTACATAGTGAGTTCCAGGCCAGCTGGGGCTACAGGGAGACCCTGCTTCAAGACCAAAAAAATAAGAAAGAAAATGCTAAAAGCTGGGCCTACAGCCAGGATGTAGCTCAGCTGACAGTGTGCCTGCCCAGTTATATATGAGCCCCTGGGTCTGTCCAATACCTCATAAACCAGGTGTAGTGATACACGCCTATAATCCTAGCATTCAAGAGGTGGAGGTGGAGGTGGAGGTGGAGGCTTACGGGCATTCTCGGCTATGAGGCCAGCCTGGGCTACATGAAATCCTGTCTCCATAAAACAAAACAAAAAAAGCTGAACATTTGGAAGGCAGAGACAGGAGGATCACAGGTTCAAGGCTTGTTGGGGCTAGAGTAAGTTCACGGCCAACTTGGGCAACTTAGATCCTGTCTCAAAATAAAAAGTAAAAAGTAAGGTGAGCACAGTGGCATGTGCCTGCAATGCTAGCAGAGGCAGAAAGACCACAAATCTGCAGCCAGTCCACCTACAGTGGTGCCAGGCCAGCCAGAACTGTGCAGTAAGACCCTGTCTCAAACAACTAATGAACTAAATAGTGTTAGGGGTGTGGTAGAGCACTTGTTTGGCATGCATCAGACTCTAAGGGGTCAATCCTCAGTATGCACCTCCATCCCCTCCAATAAAACAAAGAAATGCTACCTGCCCTTTGAACTTAATGAAAGCAGTAGGGTATGGTGGCCCATGACTACTAATCCCAGAACCTGGGAAGTAGACAGGAAGATCAAGAGTTCATAGCCAAGCCTAGAGGGTTGGCACATGCCTTTAATTCCAGCACTTGGGATGCACAGGCAGGCAGGTCTTTGTAAGATCTAGGCCAGCCTGGTCTACATAGCTCCAGGCTAGCTGGGGCTAAAGAGAGATGTCTCAAAAAAAAAAAAAAGTGTGTATTGGGGGGGAGCTGGGGAGATGGCTCAGCAGTTAAAAGCACTAGCTGCTTTTACAGAGGACCCAGGTTCAATTCCCAGCACCCACAAGGTGGCTAACAACCTCTAACTCCAGTTCCAGGGGATCTGACATCCCCTTCTGGCTCTATGGGTACCTACCCATGTGACAGACACTGAGACAGACATGCATACATATATTTTTTAAAGGAGTTCAAAGCCAAGGCCACCCTGGGCTACACAGTGAGCTCAAGTCCAAGTGTTGGCTACACGAAACTGTCTCAAAAAAACAACAACAACAACAAAAAAAAAACCCAAAAAAAACCAAAACCCAAAACAAGCACAAACTTAATGGGTCAAACTGGAGTCTCATCACAACCCCCGCATTCAGTACTATTTGACGCCTTTATTTTCCCATGTACATTCTTTTCCTTGGACGTTGTTTGTGTTACTAAGGATGGATCCGGAACCTTAGGCATGGTAAGAGTTCTACCACTAAGCATGTCTCCAGCCCTTCCTGAATCATTTCTGTAAAATGAGCAAGTCACTTGAGTTTGCCCAGCTGCTATGGCCAGGATGCCCTGCCCTACCTTACAAAACACTTGCTGGGTTTCAAACACTTCAGGCTGCCTGCTCTGGACACCCACTCCACCCAAGGCTTTGTCCAGTGCTCTTATGTCAGGACTCTGAACTAGTGCAGTAGTGACAGGACTGTGACATTTACTGAGCACTGCTTCATTCCAGGAACTGGGTAACACACCCTCTTAAGAGTCTATAACTTGGCCAACACCTCATGCAGTGGCAGAATCAAGCTGCAAACCCAAAGTCAAAACCATGACTAGAGACTCCTTTCACCTTGTGCAGCTGACGCCTATTTTAGTGTCTGGGACATTACAGGTGCCCAACAAAGCTACTGACTTCACCAGCCTGGAGAGACAGCTCAGCTGTTAGGGGGCACTGGCTGCTCTTCCAGAGGACTGAGGTTGGGTTTCCAGCACCCACATGGTGCAAACAACCTTCCCTAACTCTGGGGATCCGAATGCCTCTTCTGGCCTCCATAGGCACTGCACACACTGGTGCACTTACATACATGCAGGCAGAACACTCAAAAAATTTTACAATGATTTTGCATCTGGTTGGCCACGACACCTGAAATATTATGAGGCCAGGATTGATCAAGAGGCTCCCTAATCATTTTTTATATGCCCATTCCAAAATGGTATCTGCCACCATGCCACAACTGTCTGTTCCCTGCCAGGTATGAAGAGGGACTAACAGTGGTGCACGCCCAGAAAGAACTGGAGAGCACTGCCCCCACCCTACCTCTTCCAGCCAGGCCAGCGTCCCTGATGTCTATACTTCAATCACCTGCTTCTGGGTCACTCCAAAGCACTAACCACCGCCCCGCCTCTTTTGGTGGGGGGCAGGAATGGGGACTGAACCTTGGGCCTCAAGCATCCTAGGTAAACCCTCAACCACGGAGTTACAGCCCCATCCTCAACCCTTTCTTGATTCCAGCCTTTTGAACTTGTCCACCCTCCTATCGCTCCTTCCGTCCCTGGTTTCCCTCGGAGCATCTGGCAAGACTCTATCTACTGGAAGAGAATGGACAATCCGCCTCTCACGGCCAATCTGGGCAGACAGCAATCTCAATGAACGAGTGAAATCTGAACGGGGCAAACGCCCACACTGAGGGGCATGAGGATGCCAGTGGCTGGGGAGGACTTCCAGGAGGAGGAGGCGGAGCGCTGAACTTTCAGATGACCGGAAACTGGTCTGCGGGGGCGGCCGAAACCCAGCCCGAGGTAGGACCTAGCGGGAGGAGGCCGCAGGGCCCGAGTTCCCATCCCACCCTCCGGCCCCGAGGAGTTCCGCCCGGTGCCTGAGGCCCTCCGGCCCCCTCCGGTTCCCGCCGGCCCCCGTCGGCCCGGCCCTGCCGCCTCCGCCACCCACGGCAGCGCACTCACTCCTCCTCCGCCATCTTCTCCCCAATCCAGAAGCCTCCGAGACCACCGAGTTCGGTGCTTGGGGCTAGCCAGGCTCGAGGCTGCTTCCGGCTTCCGCTGAGGGCGGGGGCGGAGCCTGGCCGCCCAGGCGACCCTCTGTCCTGTAGTCTCTGTGGTCCCGGGGTGGGGGAAGGCGGGGGAGGACCCTCGAGGGAGTGCCTGTTCCAGGCCACGTGATGGGCTGGCTGCCGGACAGTCCGGCTTTTTCCGGTCACAGGGCGGGGAGAAAGTGGAAACGAGAGGTGGCGGTGACTCACGCCGAGGGCGGAACGCACAATTGAGGCCGGACGCTCTGCTTCCAGCTAGGCTGTGGCCAGTCTCCAGGGTCCCGTCCCGGATCAGCCTCAGTTTCCCCAGAGTGAAGAGGAGGAAGCAGATGGACTTGCAAACCTTAAACCATGTAGCCCTAGTATAGAAATAGGCGCTGAGGATGTAGGGGTAGAGTGTTCCTTCATCGATCTACTGTTGCAGCAAATTCTCTTTAAAATTTATGTATTGTACAAGGGGTCTGACTCCTTTGATTCGTGGGGTCGGTCCCGCTAGCGTTAAACTTCCTCGCCTCACCGGGGATGGGGAGGGTGTATGCGGGGGTGTGGAGGTTCGTGGATTTTTTGCAGAAAGGAGCTGATTCTCTCTTTCCATTATGTGGGTCCCTGAGATCGAACTCAGGTGGCTGCATTTACCCACTAAGCCATCTCACTGACCCAACAAATTCTTTTTAAATGTGTCCGTGTATGCATGTATGTGTGCATATGTTTGCGGGTATATGTGGAAGCGAGAGGGTATCAGGTATCTTCAATCACTCTCTACCTTACTTTTCCAGACAGGGACTCTTCATTGAACCTGCACCTGGTAATTTGACTATATTGGTTGGCCAGTGAGTTCCTGGGATCCCTCTGTCTCTGCCTCCCTAGTTCAGGGGTTATACAGTTATCAATGGTCATACCTGCCTGTGATGTGGGTGCTGGGGACCCGAATTCTAGCACAGCACGGGCTTTACCCAAAGTCAGCACCCCAGCCAGTAACTTTAATTTTTATTTATTTTTATGTGTATAAGTGTTATGCTTGCCTGTGTATAGGTGTACCTGTGTTGTATGTTGCCTGAGGAAGACAGAAGGCATTAGATCTCCTGGAACTAGTTACAGATGGTTGTTAGCAGCCATTGGGTGCTGGGATTTGAACCCAGGTCTTCTGCAAGAACAACCAGTGTTCTTAACTGCTGAGCCATCTCTCCAGCCCCTGTTGTTTTATTTTAATGTGTATGTGTCTATGTGTGAGTGTGTACATGTGAATGTAGGTGCCCATGCAGGCTAAGAAAAGGTATCAGATGCCCTGGAGCTGGAATTACAGGTGGTAGTGAGCTGCCCCATGTGGGTGCTGGAAACCGAACTCAAGTCCTTTGTAAGAGCAGTAACTGAGCTATCTCTCCAGGCCCAAACCATTTTTTTTTTTTTTTCCTTTTAGTCAGAGTCTCCCTGTAGCCCCAGCTGACCTGGAATTCACAATGTAAACCAGCCTAGCCTGGATCTCTCACAAAGATCCCTCTGCTTCTGTTTCCTGACTGCTAGCATTAAAGGCATGTACCACCACACCCAGGCCCAAACCATTCTTGATACCTGAGCATATAAGATCTTGAGGGTGACCTTATGCCTTCCTCAAATATTTTCTGGGACTTTCCCAAACAAGACTAAACTTTTGTTTACAGTAAAAACATCAGAATTTCCCATGCAGCCTGTGACCTAGGGTTTTACCTGGTCAGCTGTGATCCTTTTCAGAGTTTGTCTGGAACCTCCCTCTGATCTCATCTGCCAAAAAGGTTCTTTAGCAACCCTTTGAGAGCTAATTTCAGGAGCTACCAAAATCATATACATGAGTGTTTAAAGACGAAAATGCCTCTCTTGAGAGACATACACCCAAGCTCTTGGCTCTCTCTCTCTCTCTCTCTCTCTCTCTCTCTCTCTCTCTCTCTCAGACAGTTCCCCAGCTGGCCTGGAACTCACTGTGTAGACCAGTCTGGCCTTGAACTCACAGAGATCCACGTGCCTCTGCCTTCCTAGTACTGGGATTAAAGGCATGCACCACCACACCTGGTTGAAATTTGTTTTCTTAAAAATCTCATTAAGGGGGTCTGGAGAGATGGCTCGGCCGTTAAGAACACTGGTTTTTTCAGAAGACCCGGGCTCGAATCCCAGCACCCACATGGCAGGTAACAACCATCCATAACTCCAGTTCCAGGGGATCCGACAGCCTCTGACAGCTTCATCTGTCCTCCGAGGGCACTGCACAACACGGGTACACTTACCTATATGCAGGCAATACATGCATATGCATAAAATAAAAATAATAAATAACATTAAAAAAAAATCTCCCCGGGCATGGTGGTGTATGCATTTAATCCCAGCACTTGGGAGGCAGAAGCAGGCAGATCTCTGTAAGTTCGAGGCCGGCCTGGTCTCCATAGTGAATCCAGGACAGCTGGGGCTACAGGGAGACCCTTTCTCAAAAAGACCAAATCATGATGATGATGATGATGATGATGATGATGATGATAACAATAATAAAATTAATTCTAGGGCTGAGGATGGAGCTCAATTGGTAGAGTGCTTTTCTAACATGCATGAAGTCCTAGGTTCAAGCCCCAGCACTTGGGAGGCCGGCATGAAAAGATCAGAAGTTGAGGGTCAGAATCTAATGTTTAGTGAGTTTGAGCCTATCCTGGGCTAAATGGGACCCTCTCTTAACGCAAGGGAGGGAGGGGAGGGAAGAGAAGGGAAGGGAAGGAAGTCCCAGCCTTAGATTTACCTCAGTGGAAGTCTCTGAAGAGAATGCCTCAGGCTGCAGGTGGCAGTATGGAGCTGTGTCTCCAGCCACACCCCACTGCCTCCAATAGTGTGATAGCCCATCCCTGTGATTGCAGCACTCTGGAGGCTGAAGCAGGAGGATTGAATTTGAAGCCAGGCTGGACTACATGGTAAGAGTCTCAAAAAAAAAGTGTGAGGGGTGGAGTTGGCTTGCAGTTGTACCTCTGTAGTGCACCAAGTTGAAGGCCACTGTGGTGGATCTCTGTGAGTCCAAGGCCAGTCAGGACTACACAGCTGGACCCTATCTCTACAGAAAAAAATAAAAAAGAGAAAGAAATAAAGAATAAAGTGAGGTTGGAGGAGTAGGTGGGACCCTGTTGGGTGTAAAATTTGGGTTTGACTGACCACCTTTCTGTCCAAACTGCTATACTGGGGAGGGGCAGGTGGGTTGGGAGGGGCACATCCAGACAGCTCCCTCAGGGGTCTCCACCTCCACATGGTTACTGTAGTCTTCTTTTTGGGGGGGGGGGCTTTTTCAGACAGGATCTCCCTGTAGCCCCAGCTGGCCTGGAACTCACTATGTAGACCAGGCTGGCCTTGAACTCAGAGATCCACCTGGCTCTGCCTCCCAAGTGCTGGGATTAAAGGTACGTGCCACCACCCAGGGTGGTTCTTGTGGTCTTCTAACTATAGCAGAGCTAACCTCTTAAAACCAGTTGCAAGCCCTAAATGGTGGTGCATGCCCTTAAATCCCAGCCCTCAGGAAGCAGAAGCAGGCAGATCTCAGAGTTCAAGGCCAGCCTGGTCTACATAGTGAGTCCCAGGCCAGCTAGGGCTACAGGGAGACCCTGTCTCAAATAAAACAAAACACAAACCAAACCTCCAGTTGCACCTCTGCTTAAAACCTATAATGCCTTCTAGGCTTCCTTAGAGAAGATACTTTTAGCACCTATAGGACCCAGCCCTGTCCCCTTTTCCCACCTGGGTCTGTGATTACCCCTCATCCCCCTTGAACTGTTGTTGCCATGGCTCCTCAGTGGCTGGACACAGTAGCACCAAGGACAGTTCTGCTTGCCCAGAGCTGTGCCGTGGCCCCGGCTCCACTGTTCCCACCTTCTTGCTTTGGTATACCCTTTACCTTGGATGTTGGGCCTCTCCTGATCATCCTACTTAAAATGAAGAGCCCTCCACCTTTCCTCAGTAATTTTCCACAGGTTTTCGGTTAGGTGGTTGTTGCCTATCTCCTTCAGAGGGTAATGTTCTTGAATATAAAAATTTCTGTCTTTTTTCTTTTTTTCTTCTTTTTTTTTGAAATTTGCTAAAGATTTAATCTTTCATCAGAAAATACCTACATATTTAAGAAATATGAAAAAAAAAGCCCCAGAAAAAGATGACACTATGAAAAGAAAACATATAAATTAAGTTGCTTTGAGCATAAATGAATTTTCCAGAGTAGAAAGGACCATGTGAGCTTTCGGCGGGGGGGATTACGGATGGTGATTTTTCTTCTCCATCTCCAGTTCCCCTGGCCCTTTGTATAGCTCCATCAACCAGCATGTAGAAGCTGCTAAAATCAGAGTAGTCCTCTGGATACATCAATTCTGGAGACTGCAACGACCAAGGATCACTGGTGGAAGTCTTGTCATCTTTTTTTTTTTCCCATCTTTTTTTGAGATAGGGTCTGTTTGTAGTCCCAGCTGTCCTGGTACTCACTATGTAGACCAGGGCAGCCTCGAACTTACAAAGATCTGCCTGCCTCTGCTACTCAAGCGCTGGGATTAAAGGCGTGCGCTACCACGCCTGGCCTTCCTTGGGCTTTCTGGATGAGCTTCTGGCTTGGAGAAGATGTAGCTTGTTTTTCGATTCTTGGTCTACTGGCAGGGGCCACAGTGGCAGACCCTGAGCTGTGATTGGCCCCTTTGGACATTGGCTGGACCACCACAGACAGATCGGTGCTCTGCTGTCGGACTGCTACAGCCTTGCCTGCCTGGTGGTTGAGACCGTCTGAGTCTTGTTGAAATGCAGACATTTACAAACCAGTTTGAGATTTGCACCCAAGATAAATTGCTCTGCTCCAAAAGCAGTTGCTTCTCCATGTTAAATCAGTGTTCATAGAGCCAGGCTCAGAGGACCATCACAGAGGTGGTGGCAGGTACCCCTTCTGAGTCTTCAGGCATTCCAGTGGGTCAGGAAACAGTTCTTCAGTGTTATTTCTTGTCATGACCGAGGAGACTTGATCTGGGTCTTCGGTGTCCTCTGG